ATTCCAGATATTTTCCCAATCCTCTTCATTTATCTTCTCTATGAGTCCCCCATACCGTTTTTAAATCTTCCAGACTATCCTATCCTATAGTTTTAATTTCTTTATTCTTCCCATTTTAATTTTCTTTAAATCTTGTATTTATTTTGTAAAATCTATACTCAGATATCTAATACGCTCTGCCTCATTAAATTTAACTTATTTTTTCTATTTCTTCTCTGGAATGGTTATAAAATATCATTTAAGATTTATTCCAGTTGATTGTTAATTGATTTAATTCCCCCCAAATCATTTAAATGCTTCTGTATTCTTCCCATTTTAATTTTCTTTAAATCTTGTATTTATTTTGTAAAATCTATACTCAGATATCTAATACGCTCTGCCTCATTAAATTTAACTTATTTTTTCTATTTCTTCTCTGGAATGGTTATAAAATATCATTTAAGATTTATTCCAGTTGATTGTTAATTGATTTAATTCCCCCCAAATCATTTAAATGCTTCTGTATCCTATCTACTATAACTTTTACTGGGTTTTCTGTTGTTAATGAAGTGTCATATGCAGATAGACTTATTTTAGTTTTCTGTTGAAATCCAATCCCTTTTATTATTTCATCTGCTGTTATTGCATTTGCCAATAGTTCCATTATTAATTCAAACAATGACTTCCAGCGTGCTGTGATCTTATGGAATAATGAACTCAGAAAAGTCCTATACTAACTTTTCTGCTTAGGTTTTGTAAACTAAAGGCTGTGGCACCTTTTTATGAGTCAATCCCTCTAATCCTAGGTGTGGCAGTAACCCAGTCATGGACCCCCTTCCATAGCCACTCTGCTACATAACTCTTCTTGTCTATCCTGGGATGGGCCAGCCCAGGGAGAAGTCAGATGTGATAAAGGCAATGGAACTGGACTGGAACTGTATCACCTCCATCCGCCATCATCCACTCAGACACAGCACCGCTCCCAGTGAGTTCAAAACAAAACCCACAAGGTTAGGCACAGAGAAGCAAGGTGCCTCTCTTTCAAGTGTAGACTCGCCACCACACCCACAGAAACACCAAACATCCCGGTAGCTTGGTCATGGCAGAACCTGGTTTTAGCACCATAAACCTTCTAAGCCAAAAATCCAGGCAGTTGCTTGAATGAATTTTTGTATTTTATTAAAAGAGAAACAAGAAGGTTAGAAGAACAAACGGCAAATGTTCCAAAAAGTTACAGAAAGGTTTCCCAAAATGCTGGAGCAAAATACAGACAGGATTTAGGCCATCCAAACACACCAGAAACACACCAGAAAACAACAAAAACTAAGCCAGGCTATCTAATGTTCATCCCTTAAGAGGTGCAGTAGCACAGTCCTGGCACATGCACAGAGTGCATCTTTCCCAGCAGTTTCATAGGACACTAAATGAAGAGAAGGTGAGCCAAAGCACTTTCTCCTTAGAGATATGCTAGTCTGTCTAATCAGTTTTCCTAATCCCTTTAATAGGTTAAGTGAGCTATTCCGAACCTGCTGCAATCAGCATTTTAATCCTCTTCCAAGTTTCCCAAAAACAAAAGCATCTTCCTCCTCTCTTCCTTCACCACAGCTTTAATTTGTATGACTCTCAGAAAGGAAGCGGACAGGCTTTTGATGTCCCATCAGAAGAGATAAACATGGAGGTGTCATTTCTCTCTCAGTTCTTCTTTGAAGTCCTCTTTAACAGGAGGTCAACTGAAAGTGTTAATTGTCCTTTTTGTTCTGGGCACCCATTGGCTCACACATTTGTAGCCAACCTTCCTAGTCACACTCAGAGAAGCCTCGAAGCTTCTAGATGGATTCTGTGGTTCATGCTCCCTAGTTTCTCACTTTCTTCATACTAAGTCTTCTTTTCTACTTTTCCTATTACTTGTTTTCTTCCATTGAGTCTTCTATTCTCATGGCATTCCTAAAATACTCTAAAGTTTTAGCTTCTAGTGATTTCAGGCTTGATTGATCTAGAACTCACTTATTTGTCTTTCTGGCTGTCAAGAGTGTCCATTAAATTCTTTTTCAACCCTACATTTCAAATTAATAAATTTTCCTTTTCCTGTCAGCTTTCTTTGTTGTCCCATTTTTGCACCTATACATAGTAATCAGGAATACCACAATCTGAACGATCCTGTGCCTGATCTCCAGTGAAACATCCTTTATGGCTGAGTAATCTTTATAGCTGCTTTTCCAAGTCACAATTTCCTTTTGACTTCTTGATTACCATCTCCATTATGGTAAATGACTAAACCAAGGTATAGAAAGTCCTTAACAAATTTGATTTCTTCATTGCTCGAACTAAAATTTTAGAGTTCTTCTCTGGACGTTACTTTTGCCTTCTTACATTCAACTGTAATTCCTTCTTTTTAAACCTTCATAATGGCTAACAGGCCCACTCTGTAGTAGGTATACTTAAACTTAGTTAAAAAGTCAGTGATGTCCCCCAGCATAACGAAGTGGAAAATAATACCTTAACAGTCACCTCTCGTTGAATCACTATGTGTGAAATTTCTGCTCCAGCAACAAAGAGAGTGTATGTATGATTCCAAATCTCTTTTTATGCTTACTAGAGAACAATGAATAAAGATGTACCTGAATCACCGCTGACCACAAAGCTTTCACTGGTCTCACTGATATGTGCATCAAGCAAGCTGACATCAGATTCTGGTAAACAAAATACATAAGCGTAAGTCTAAATATGCCATACAGTATCTAGTTATTTCTGTGCTAGGGTGACACGCTCTGAATATTTCTTACCCTTATCCATGTTGAAACAGCCAAAGTAAATCTGAGGATTTTTAGGAGGCCACATTTTCCTCTAAAGAAGAGTCCCGGGTCTCTTCCTGTGTATCTTTCCATGTTAATTTCCCCCCTAAATAGGAAGTGAACTCCCAGGCATCTTTGAATTTAAAAGAAATGGAAGAAAAATGTTCTGGGCAGGGAAGCAGTCCTCCCCTACTATGTGGTAGGGCAAACTATATAAGGCGATCTGACTGACCTGATTATCCAAGTAATAAGAAGACCTGTTCTTATTCGTACTTTCTGTGCTGAGATTTGTATCCCACCTTCTTAGTTTTAAAGATCTGGAAATCATACTTAACAAAATGTGTCACAATACTTTCAATTTTATTGCTGAAACAGGCTAACACAGTCACTAACTTGAAGCCTTCTTTAATACTAAAGGCAACTGAAGGGTCCTAATAAAGAAAAAAAGCTGAGCAAACTTCTCATCATTCAAGAAATGGGCAGGATTGTGTAGCTATTACTGTGAAACACTCCCTCTACTACAGGGGTCAGGGAACTTTTTAACCTTTTACCCCTCAAAAAATTTATATATGCCGACATTACCCCCTTGATTTGAAAGGAAGGAAATCATACATTATTTGAATTAAAAATATTATTGAATCTACACAGGCTGTGTACTGAACTAGCAGGATATATCATAAGTATCAATGGCTGCCAGGCTATGTACCAAACTAGCAGGATGCAACAAATTTAATAAAGATGTGCACTATTTTTGCTAGAATACATTGCACTCCAGCCATGGGGTGGTATAGGGAGTGGTAAGGTGTCCCAACGTGCCTAGCAAGTTGCATTAAATTTTTGCTAGCTCGCAGAGGATTTAATCATCATCAATGGCTGCCAGAGTGGTGCTAGCAATGATATGCTTGCTAGAGACAGCCAACACAGAGTTGGGGGGGGGGCTTTTCCTACCACTTTAATCATTTTGTGTATGGTGTGCAAAAAGGAACAAACCAGGGTAAATGTCATGTCACCCACCCTGGTGCCACAGCCCAATATCAAAGACCAGTGTGCTACTTTTTATCATCATCAATGGAAAACTCAGCAGTGGCCAGAGGATTGGAAAAGATCAGTCTACATCCCAATCCCAAAGAAGGGCAGTGCCAAAGAATGCTCCAACTACTGTACAATTGCATTCATTTCACACGCTAGCAAGGTTATGCTCAAAATCCTACAAGGTAGGCTCTGCTCATTACCCCCAGGATTTTCATTTTTACCCCATTTGGGGTAATTTACCCCTGTTCCCAAACCACTGCTCTACTAGCAAAATGCAAACATGTTTTCTGTATAACCTTTAATGAACAGAAATTTGTCCAAATAACCTGTTTTACAAAAGCAAACCTTCAAGTCCCTGGCTATACAGGAGGCCTGAAATATAGCACAAAATGGCTACCAGGCTCCCTGCTGGGTGCCGGCTTTTATCTGTTTGCGGCTCTTTTTCCTGCAGTTTGGGGGCTACCAAGCCCTGGTAAGTGACTTTCTTTTATTTATTTTTAAGTTTCTGACCCTTTTTCCCCCTCCAGAAGCCTCTAAGGGGAGGGATGGGGCACTTTTTTTCCTGTTCGTAACTCGAGGGACGTTCGTATGTCGGGTCCTTATTTCCCTATCGGGCGGGTTCGTAAGTTTTATTGTTCGCAAGTAGGGTCGTTCGTAAGTTGAGACCCCACTGCATTAGATAAGAAGCAGACGATCTTCTTCAAATCTGCTCTTTGTCATTAGCTCACTAGGGGTCCAAAACCAAGATACATACTCTCAGGGTCATTGTGTGGGTTCAAACAAGATCATGACTAGAATTCTACAAGGATTTGAAAATAAATGGAACTGCAGAGGTCACAGCTGTTTAATGAGGTACCAGATCCATGCCTGGTTGTATGCCTGGTAGTATGACTGACATGATAATGCACAAGATGAACATGATGTTCATCAGCCTCAATTTGCCACTATGACCTACTCAATTTCATCTACTCCAGAATAAACTGCCAACAGGATTCTAGCCCATGGGGTGCAAATCACTAAAAATGCTTGCAGTGTTCTATCCATACATGTTACCTCTGATTGAATTCTTTCAAAGGCAGGAACTTGTTTTGCCTGTGCAACCCCCAAGACAGATGCAGTAAAGAAGATCTGGATGTTGAGTCATGGCAACTGGAATTCTTTCCTTATAAGGTTGAAATGTTTTGCTACTCATCAAGTAGCTTCTTCAGTCTGAGGAGAGTTGGTAGGAGACCCCTGATCTATCCTCCAGGTTGGTTTAACTTCCCCTTGGTCTGAATAGGCTCCTTAGATGGACAAAGGGATGGGGGGCGAGTGAAAATCCCACCTCTGCAGTTCTTCTCTACCCACTGCCATGGGTAGTTAATGATCATTAACAGTGGTCTTTCTGTATGTGCGATCCTAATCTTTCTGGGGATGGATGAGGGATTTTCTATATGCACATGTATGGCCTTCCTGACCCTTCTCTCTAACCACCTATCTTCTCTGTCCAAAATGAGTACATCCTAGTCATCAAATGAGTGCCCTTTGTCCTTCAAATGAAGGAACACTGTTGATTGTGGTCCTGAGTCATTGCCCCTCCTGTGCAGGGACATTCTCTTGTTTAGTGGCTGATGGTTTAGTGAAACCAACCTGGAGGATAGATCAGGGATCTCCTACCAACTCTTCCTGAGACTGAAGAAGCTACTTGGATGAATAGCAAAACATTTCAACCTAATGAGAAAGAAGTCCAGTTGCCATGACTCAACTTCCAGATAAACTCACCTGGATGACTAAGAATCTACACAGATGTAAAGAAGATCTTACATTTCATCATCTACAACTGGGGTCCCCAACCCCCAGGCCTTGGCAGGACCAGGTTGCATAGACAGATCTCCTGCCCCCTGCACACACACACCCCACAAGCACGCACGGGTGCCGTGCCCCCCATGCATGGGCGCCATGACCATCCATGCATGGACATCGCCCCCCACCAACCAGTCTGTGGTTTGGAAAAGGTTTGGGACCACCCGTCTGTGGTTCGGAAAAGGTTGGGGACCACCAATCTACAAGGTCTGGTCAGTCATTTTGAAAGCATGGGGATGGTGTGTTCTAGCCTTGCTCCCTCTGTTGTCGCTTTAATCATGAAAAGCTACAGTCTGTAGAAGTTTTCTATCCATGTATGCCCCCCCTTCTGAACCAGAACACATAAAAAATAAAATCCCAGCTTATGTAGAAAGATTGCAATAGTACAATAGCCTTTGCATCTTCAGACCCCCTTTGCATGGAGAAAGCAAAGATAGAGAAGGCAAGGCAGTGCAATCCCCTCATCGTGTGTGGCGTCTACCAGCCTTCTGAACAAGTAGGGCCGTGCTCCAATTTCAGTACAGTTCTCTAAATCCCATCTCTATGGCAGCACAAATCAGCATCTAAAGAGGTACAGTATCAGGTTTATAGAAGTACAGAATTTGGGGGTGGTGGTGGAGCAAAACAGAGGGAATCCGTCCCTCCGAGTGTGAGCCAGGATGGGAGAAGGAGGCACCTCTCTTGCTGGAGTGCCGTCCATTCCCACAAAGGAGGGGGAGAAAGAAGGGGATTATGGACTGCCAGCTCCCCCCAAACAATAGGAGGATTCTCTCCAGGGGGTCAAGAGAGAAGATTCATCCCACAGCCTAGGGGGGGATGGAAGAGCTAAATGAGCAGTTAGAAAAGGAGGGAAAGAAGGAAAAGGAGGAGACAGAAAGGAATAAGAAGGGGAGGAAGGAGACACAACAGTAGTGGTAGAAGGAGAAGGAGAGAAAAGAATAAGAGAGACTACCACCAGGGCGGAAATTAATCCCGTTAGAAGACCCTTGGACTCACAGGTGGGAGAGATTAAAAGTACCTTGGGAAGAAGCAGACATAGGAGGAGAGTGGCGATTCCCCTAAACCTTCATACTGGGGAGAAACCGAGGCAAGGGAGTGGAGAAGGTGGTCAAGAGAAGAGAAAGAAGAACACAAAAGACAAGAGATTATTGAATGGCAAACGTGGGAGATGAGGTGGAGGCCAGCACCGGAAGAACC